AAATATATTCAATATCATGTACTAGCTTATGGTGAAAAAGAATATGAAAATGAATATACAAAAAAATAGAAAAAATCAATAAAAGCAAGAACTGGCTTCTTCAAAGGAGAAACAAAGTTGACCAACCTTTGGCCAGGCTCATTAAGAAAAAAAGAGGGGACTACTGTCAACAGTTCTATGTCAACAAAGTGAACCTTTCTACAACGATACAGCCTACCAAAACTGAATCAATAAGAAACATTATTTAAGCAGACCAATCACTAGAAGTGAAACAGAATCTGTAATAAAAAAACTGCCTGCAAACAAAAGTCTAGGACCAGATGGCTTCACCGGGAATTCTACCAAACACACGAAGAACTTACACCAATCCTTCTCAAACTCATCAAAAAGACTAAACAGAATAGAACACTTCCAAAGTCATACTATGAAGCCACCATCATCACCCTGATATCAAAACCCATCAATGACACCACAAAAAAGAAAAAGAAAAAGAAAAAAATTACAGGTTAATATTCTTAATAAATATAGATGCAAAAATCCTCAAGAAAATATTAGCAAACCAAATCCAACAACACATAAAAAGGATCATACACCATGATCAAGTTGGATTCATCCCAATAGAACAAGGACAGTTCAACATATGCAAATCAATCAATGTGATTCATCACATCAACAAAAAAAAAGCAAGAAACACAAGATAAACTCAACAGATACAGAAAAAGCAGTTGACAAAATTCAATATCCATCCATTCAGCCTAAAAACTCTCACCAAAGTAGGTACAAAGGGAAGATATCTCAACATAATTAAAGCCATTTAAGACAAAACCAAAGCCAGTATAATACTCAACAGTGAAAAGCTTAAATCCTTCTTGCTAAATTCTGGAACAAGGCAAGGATGCCCACTCTCACCACTTTTATCCAACATAGTATTGAAAGTATTCATCACAGCAATCAGACAAGAAAAAGAAAAGAATCCAAACTGGAAAGGAAGAACTAAAACTGCCACTGTTTGCAGATGACATAATACCATACATGTAAAATCTTAAGAACGCTAACAGAAAACTATTAGAGCTCATTAATGAATTCCGTAAAGTTGCACGATAAAAAATTAATATACAGAAATCTGTTGAATTTCTATACACTAACAATGAGATATCAGAAAAGAAATTAAAGAAACAATCCCATTTATCATCACATCAAAAAGAATAAAATACCTAAGAATAAACCTACCTAAGGAGGCAAACGACCTGTACTCTTAAAACTATGACACTGATGAAAGAAATCGAGGATAACAGAGATGGAAAGATATACCATGTTCTTGGACTGGAAGACTTAATATTGTTAAAATGGCCATACTACCCAAGACAATATACAGAGTCAATGGAATCCCTATCAAACTATAAATGACATTTTTCACAAAACTGGAACAGGAAATGTTAAAATTTGTATAGAAACACAAAAGAACTCAAGTAGCCAAAAGAATCTAAAGAAACAAGAACAGAGCTGAAGGAATCATGCTCCTTAACTTCAAACTATTACAAAGCTACAGTAATGAAAATAGTATAGTACTGGCACAAAAA